TAAAACTTAACTTTTTTTTGACTAAAACTTTTTTTTTATTCGCACGCGCGCATCAATTTTGGGGTTCCCGGAGGATGTCATCCATATAATCAAATCAGCATGGCCTAACAGCGAAACGCTAAATTATTGTTAACTTTACGTGCAGGGGGCTTAAAATCCGCAGAGATCTTCAGAGATCTGTATCGTTCAAGATTCACCTGTTCAAAAACACGCCAATGGATAGAGCAGGAAATGATCCCTCTTTCATCCTAATCCTCAATATCCTCAGTATTTGCCAATGGCAACTTAGTACAGGTGGCTTTCTGCATTACAGTTTAGATTGCATTACAGTTTATATTAACATACCCTTCCAACTTGTTTTTAAACGACAGAAATAGCCACAATCCTAAGATTTATAAGCAGATCTTAACTGTTCATTATATCTAGTTGCCAGAAGAATTTGATCGTTGAAGTAGTATGATAAACTTAACATATCGCGTCTGTTTTTGTCGCAACATATGGGATAACCGCTCTCTGTAAGGCCACACCGATTTAATTTTATGGATGACATCCTCTGAAGACCCCCAAACTAGTGCGCGCGGGCGAATAAAAAAAATTCCGGCCCAAAATAAAAATGCTACTAAACCACAGGAATACAAAGCAGTTATTGTGAATTTGCGGCAGAACTTAGCGACGAATACGACAAGCCTGCACATGCTGGCTTTTTGCGGATTTGTGAATCGGCACTGTACGTATGTACATGAGTTCTTGAGTCGTGGAGCTTCGGTAGCCTGGGTGCTATCCTCCAGAGTTACCACCAGCTCCGTATTGTCGCTAGCTACCATGGACTACCCAGGCCTAGAGCCAGACCAGAGCCTCGGTGGACGTGATCTTCTTTTTTTTTGAGAACAGGCGAAAATGAATGCGCGCGCGGATGTCATCCATAAAATTAAGGCGGTGTGGCCTAATCCTCAGCTAATTCTACAGCACATTTCTATACTCCACACAGCAGACCGGCCAGCGTCCCCGGCACGACAGGAGACAGCGGAGGAAAGCGGTCATCTTGCCGACAAGGAGAGCAGCTTGGACACCCCTCCGGAGGAGGAGGAGGAGAAGGAGGAGCAGAAGTTGAAGAAGAGGTCATCCACAAGGTCACTGCGAGTGAGTGACAGCTCAGAGAGTGTATGTACGGTGTTGTCATCTGTCATCTCATTTGTTACCACCATTTTGTATCTGTGTGTACCAATGCGTGGATTTGGTTCAACCTGGTTGGTTCGTTTACTTGTTTGTCTGTTAGTAGTTAAGGGAAGTATCCAGAGAAAGTATAAGGTCCCGTCACGTGGAATCCTTTGGACAACTGTCATGTCACGCCATATGTCTTGTCATGTCTTGTCATTTGAACAAAACTGTCCATTCTATGTGTGGCACAAGATACTTCGAATCCAACATCTTCTGTTAGTTAAGTTCGTGCTTAAGTTACCTTATTTTAATTTGCCCCTTGATTGTACATAAGTTTTCTTCAGCGATTACTTTATGTTGCATTGTTATTGTTTTATTGTGTTTGGGGTTTGGGGTGCATTGAAAACCGCCCTCCAGGGCAATATGTTTATCTGGTTAAATAAACAATAAACAAACAAACAAACAACATGCAACGTTCAGAGGATTATCATCATTCAAATTCTAGAAGGTCGAACGTTCCGGCATGGCTATGTTTGAACGACATAACATGTTCATCTTGTTCACACAATAACTTGTCTTTGTTTTTCTATCTTCAGTCCAACTCCACAGATTCGGACATAGACGTGAAGGCGGACATCCTCCGCGGTCTCAGCTCAACCTTCCCGCAGACCAGGCCTGCGGCGGGAGGGGGGTACCAGGACTTCCCCATCAAACCGGCCGGCAAGGGGGCAGGCTACAAGGACTTCCCGCTTCCTAAGGCACAGGGGGGATACCGGGACTTCCCTCTGGTCAAGGTCAGTCGTTAGAAAGCAATCAGTCAGTCAGTCAGTCAGTCAGTCACTGACTCACTGACTCACTCACTCACTCACTCACTCACTCACTCAGACAATCAGTCAGTCAGTCAATCAGTCAGGCAGGCAGACAGTCAATCAGTCAGTCAGTAATCAGTCAGTTAATCAATCAATCAGTCAGTCAGTCGGTCAATCAGTCAGTCGGTCAGTCAGTCACTCAGACATTCAGTCAGTCAATCAGTCAGTTATACAGTCTGTCAGTTAGTCAGACAGGCAGACAGTCAGTCAGTCAATCAGTCCGTTAGTCAGACAGTCAGACAGTCAGTCAGACAGTCAGTCAATCAGTCCGTTAGACAGTCAGACAGTCAGTCAGACAGTCAGTCAATCAGTCCGTTAGTCAGACAGTCAGTCAGACAGTCAGACAGTCAGTCAGTCAGTCAATCAATCAGTCAGTCAGTCAGTCAGTCAGTCAGTCAGACAGTCAGTCAGTCAGTCCGTCAGTCAATCAGTTAGTCAGTCAATCAATCAATCAGTCAGTCAGACAGTCAGTCAGTCCGTCAGTCAATCAGTCAGTCATTCAGTCAGTCCGTCAGTCAATCAGTCAATCAGACGGTCAGTCTGTCAGACAGTAAATCAGACAGTCAGTCAATCAGTCAGTCAGTCAGTCAATCAAGCAATCAATCGATATAATGTTTAGATTTTAGGCGAAATTATGCCAGTTCCCAAGAAGATTGGGGTGGCATGACGTTTCTGACTGCCCGGTTTTTATGACACGCAACCTTGTCTCCATTAACGTTTGAGAACATTCAGAGGGATCAACTCCTGATCCAGCTGTGATTATCGAGATCTCTGGGTCACGAAAGCTAAAGATGTAACTTCCTTCCATACCTTCAGCGCCTGTTCAACAAAAAGGACACTCTAAATAGTCTGATACCGGTACCTGCCTCCTGAACAGCTTTAAGGCCTCACTAGTATTCTGACTAGTTTTTAATATTATTACAGTTGTACATAATGAATGATATTTTATAGTAGTGTATTGTATTGCATTTTTATGACTATTGTATGTTATTGTAGGAATTTGTAGTTCATGTCAACAATTGTTCGACTTTGTAATTTGTATTGCACTGTATTTATATTGTTGTGTTTGGGAGGACAACTTGTAAAGGTGTCAATACACCTGTTTTGTCCTCCCTTCTACTTGTATGTTCGTACTTGTGGTGAATTCTAATAAACAAATACCGATAATACTCAGGGTTATGCAGGGTTATACCTATCACTGACCTGTAGTGTATTCTGTCCTGCCGTGTCCAGACAAGCGGCGGTCCGGGCGGGTATCAGGACTTCCCGCTGAAGCCCATCCCTGGTCTGCCCGGAGACACACCGACTCCGCCACAGAAGCCACTCAGAGAACAGGGCCGAGGAGCAGAGGTAGGGAAACATTTTGTATTCTAAAACTTTTTACCTCCATGAAAAATGGAGGTATTGTTTTTTGGTGCGTCTCTGTGTGTGTGTGTGTGTCTTTCTGTCTGTCTGTGTGTTTGTGTTTCCACATATTTGTAGTCAGCATAACTTCAGAACGCCTTTATTGTGATTGTGATGATATTTGGTATGCTGGTAAGTCTTAGGAAGACGAAGGTCAAGGTCAAATATGGGCCTCCTGGTGGATGACCTTGGTACTGCAGCAGAACTTCCGGTTTTTGTATCTGTTGTTCTGAACATGCTATGGTCTTAACTTTTTTGTTACAGATAGCTTTTCCTGTCAGGAATAAGTGGTGTGAGTTTTTTCAGAGTAATTGCCATTTTATCCCTGGACCAACTGGAAAGCACCACAGAAAAGTTGCCTTTATCTATCCCCACTGATACTATATTTGCTGTAGGAGAACAAGGTACGATTCGGGAACACGGCTGCAGTCAGCTCACGTCTGCCTGAGCTCGCCGAGGCCTCCGAGACTGAGAGTAAACAGGTCAGTATTGGAATAGTCTTGAAGGTTTTACCTAATACAACGTTTTTTTTTTGCCACTTCGCTTCGCGGACTCGGTCATTCATTCGATGGTTATAGGAACCGAACATGACTTATTGCACCGTAGACTGTGACCTCAGGGCGGGTCATTATCACTATATTATTCAGAGGAAACGTTGAGTTCTTTCTAAAACTACTCTGTAGGACGAGGACAGTGACCGGAGTTCCCCCTCCTCGTCGCCCGAGGACCACGCCGAGGTTGTCTCCCGCAGCATGCCTGAGTCGGTGCTGAGGAACCTCGGGCTGGCCACCTCTCAGCCACAAAGGTGCCTGACGGAAGAGGAAGTGGAGGTTTGTTTAATACACCGACACCCCTTTTACGTACTTCACGTATTTCGTTGGATAAGTTATCATCCCTGGTTCCATTTCATGTCTTTCATATATATCAAATAGTTCATGAAACACCGGTCCAATTTCGTGTCTTTTGTAGAACCAATTCATGGCTTCGGGGGCCATTTCATGTCTTTTTATTTTTCATAACTGGAACTGTTTTCCGGTCCTGACCTATTCCACGTCATTTCTAGAATCGATTTCTGACCCCTGTGCCATTTCATGTCTTTTTTAGAACCGTTTCACGGCCTTGGTACTGTTTCATTTTTTTTGCAAAATTGGTTCATGACTTTCATGTCTTTTTTTAGAACCGTTTCACGGGCTTGGTACTGTTTCAGTTTTTTTGCAAAATTGGTTCATGACCTTCATTCCTTTTATTTATCATGATTAGAACTGTTTCACGGTCCTGACGCAATTTCATGTTTTTTTTTGTAGAACCGTTTCACGGCCCTGACGCTATTCCCTGTCTTTTTAGAACCGTTTCACGGTCCTGACGCAGTTTCATGCCTTTTTCAGAACCGTTTCACGGCCCTGGCGCTGGAGTGGCGCACGGACTCGTACACGCTGGAGAAGCGGTGTCTCCTGCTGGAGAGGCAGCGGGACGTGGCCGAGAAGAACCTGGACCAGGAGATGAGCATGCTCAGGGGGTCACTAGTGGTGGGTCTGCGGCTCTTGATTACACCTAACGTATAGAGTATCAAACATAGATACATGAATATACCATAAGCAGATATATGCACATATACAAGGTATATAAGGGGAGGGGGCAGTGAATGAAGCTTCCATTGCATTTGGGATTCTATGGTGAAACCACTAGAAACAAGCACTTTAACACATTTACCTTTATTCAAAACCTCAAGTCTTTACCCCCACTGCAAAGCTGAATTTGTCAGGTTTCTTTTGGTACAAATAGTAGAAGTTCGACTCCTGCCTTTTAATGAGATACAGCCCAAATACTGAAATGATACCTGGATTTCACCCCCTGTCCAAGTGGAACAGTCCATTCAGCCAGGACCTATCTCGGAGTCGATAGAAGGTAAAGTCTTGCCAAAGGTCAAACGTTTTGGGCAGATTCGAAAAATACACATTCTTTTGTCCTCCTTACCACAAAACTGGGCCTTTCTGACCAAAATTTGCCCAGGAAAAAATTATTTCAAAAATAAGTCCAAAAATAAATCGTGGGTACTCAAAGTGGCCTTTCCCCGCATGCGCTTACACTGGTCCCCCTCCATAAGGTACAT